TTCCAGACCACAGTAAAAGGGGAAATGGTTTTAGGAATAGATAACAGAATTCAGAAAAATCAAAATTCAGTAGCCTACAAAGAGTGAAAATATGTTCCAAAACAAGAGAGCTTTTGAAGTATTTATTTCAAATTCACAAAAACTCCCCCATGGGATCTTAGACAGCTTTACTCTGCTTAAGTCAGAGAAAAGTGCAGATCCTGATATGAATATATTTACACAAACTGCTCATATTCTAAAGGAATAGTTGTTCAACATTCATTCATTCAAGAGCTCTTTTGTAATTGTTACAATATAAAAGAGCCAAAATAAGTTCTTAATGGAAGTGCTAAGTAGTGCTCTACATTGTCAACTAACCTACTTCCCATTTCAAAGGTATTTGACTTGTTTTCATTCCTCTTTTGGAAAGAAAACTAAATATCTGCTATCAATTCATCATTGACTTGTACAATAAATAAAGTTCTAAATCACTATGCTGTATAAATGGCAAATAGACTTTCCCCTAACATAAAGTACCCTGAAAGATTTTGTCATTTTTAGAGGGAAAAAATATTAAAACATGGGCATTGTAACAGATGTATTTTGTAAATTATTGTAATTGTGGTAATAAACAACAAGAAAATTCTACTATCTTTACCTCAATCTTATGAAAAATTCTATAATGATGGGACAAATTTTATTTTCAATTAAATATGTTGTCACCCACTGACATACCAGTTAGTACCTCATATCAATTATCTTCTAATTTAAATCAAGTAATATAGTTGCTGCTATGGAGCAACTACTCCATGGCCTGCCTTTTTGGCCAGTAAATAAGAATTTAAGAGCTTCTGGTAGCTAATGCAGTTTCTTGCTGGGTTTTAATGACAATTTTTTATAAAAATGTGTGAGTAATTCAATAGAATTACTTTCATTCACCATGCGTTTTTCAGAATGCCTAGGACTATGCAGTAAGTATTAAATTTGCAGTTCCTTTGAATAGTTGTAATTTAAAGACAAAACTTTGCTTAATACCAGGCAAACATAGAAACACAAGTCAGATTACTTGTAGAGAATTTAGCCAATGCTTCAGTCTATATCATATTTAGGTCATTAAATATGAAATGTCTGATTTCTAATCAAAAGTGTAGTTTATTTTGTCTCAAACAAGAAGCAGTACAAGTAATCAGAGTATGAGCCTAAACTACCCACACAGTTCTGCCATCTCAGTGGTAACTTGCTTATGCCAGCAGCAAAGAAGCCTGGAGTGTGAGTCGTGATGAAATAGCAAAAGGTGTTTTCTACAGCTTATTGAGAATTGAATATTTTTCCTTGCAAGAAGTGGTCCAAAGCCTGGAAGAAGTGGTAGTCAATTGGTGCAGGTCTGGTGAATAAGGTGGATGACAGAGGGTTTCCAAGTCCAGCTGCTGTAATTTGATCAGGGTTGGTTGTGTGACATGTTTTCCAGCTTTGTCTTGCAAGAGGATTGGCCTGTCTATATTGACCAATCTGAGCTGCTTAATCACAATCATCCTCATCATTTCATCCAATTGGTTGCAGTAGACATCCACTGTAATGGATTCACCAGCTTTTATGACGCTGTAGTACCAGTGCTGCACTACCGGACACCATTACCTTTTTTTGATGAATATTCGGCATTGGACTGTGTTTCGGCACTTTATCTTCATCCAACTGTTGTGCCGAACACTTGCAATTGTCAAAAAGAATCTATTTTTTATCACATATAACAATAGGGTATAGAAATGGCTTGCCTTTATGTCGTTACAGCAAAGAAAGGCAAGCTTTGAGACCATTTCTCTTCTGACGCTCGTTTAACTCATGCAGAACTCATCCATCCAGCCTCTTTACCTTGCTCATTTGTTTCAAATGTTCCAATATTATCGAAATAGTAACATCAAACCTTGCTGCTATTTCACATGTAGGTTGAGATGGATTCGCTTCCACTACAGCTTTCAGCTCATCATTATCCACCTTGGTCTCAGGTTGCCCACGTGGCTTATTTTCAGGATGAAAATCACCAGAATGGAACTTCGCAAGCCTTCAATGCACTGTGTGTTCATTAGCCACACCCTTCCCAAACACTTCTTTGATATTTTGAGCTGACTATGCTGCATTGGTTCCATGACAGAAGGCATATTAAAAAATAACACAAATTTTTGACTTATCCATGGTTTCACAAAAATTGCTCTAAAAATAAATTTGACAGGTAACCACAAGCCAATCCATGTGTTTGAAAGAATGAGGATGTACCTTCACAATAAAAATAAAACAAGAAGTGTCAAAGTAAAATGTCAGAGATATCAACTATCTAACTTAGTACTTAAGGAAATCGGACATTTCATACTTAATAATCTAATAGCTTATATTGGTGAGAGCTACATAAAGTTTTTGTTGCCTCTCAGTTAGCTTTGTTTTGAGAAGTAGGAATATTTAATACCCTTTCCTCCCATTTTTCCTTTGTGTTGCGCAAGTTCTGACAACTCTACTGCCAAATAGCTAAGGGCAAAAATGGTAAAGTTCAAGTTAAGAAAGTTTTGCAGTGTTTTCAAGACCTCTAGTGAAAGAGGGTAAAGGTTTTGTCTATTTACTAGCTGGGATTTCTACAGTTTTACCCATTCCATGCCTGCCTTCTCAGTAGCCTACAGTTGGTATTTAAATAGCTCAGCAATAACTACTTTAGTAGCCTCCCTAGGTTAAAAGAATTGAAATTAAATGTATTTTTCTATTACTAAGTTATTTTTCAGCTACTTGATTATAAAGTCAAAGAGAGTTTCATGAAACTCAGAAAGTACCCCTTCCGCAAAAAAATTTCCCTAAAACCAAGTCAGAAGAGTGAGTCAGACTACTTTGCTTATCTCCAAGATCTCAATCAACTGACAAATGTTTACCCAACTTCTATTCAAAATATTTGTACCAATAGTTCTGATAGAATCCAAGCCTAGTTTACACATTATTGATCTATTCCCGTCAGTCTTCTGAGATGTGTTTTCTCCAAAATCTACCAGATTCCTCAAATAACTTTAGGAACTCTCTCCAGAATTAAACAAGGCTGCCATTGACATCAACTTTGTCTATAAAATGAAGAGGATTATCATTGTAAATTGTACACTGACGACCTGTAATACAGAGTTAACACTGTTCATCCACAGAAGCATTCTCTAAGAATCAACCACATTTGTCCACCAGATCCAAGAGGGAGCTCATACCATTGTTATGCCTATTTCCTTGATGACCCAAGTAACCTGAGTGACTTGTTCATCATTGCCACACTCCATCAGGTGAATAAACCAAACTCAAATGTGAGGCGTTGTCTACACTGAGAAACAGTAATTCAAGAAATGGTGCCTTGATTTTTGTTAAAGTAATCTGAAAGAGTTATGTGGTAAACACTTGAGGGTGAATAGTGTAGTTTGGCAATAGAATTATACTCAAATATCTTCAAGGAGTCAAGCTCTCAGACTAATAATTAGTAATCAGAGCAGGTGAAGTAAAATCATGAAAAACCATTTATACTCCCTAGATTGGCATAAAGCTTCAAGTGTGACAAAAACAAATTTTGGCAAAGACACTGCTGATGCAGTCCAAATTGCTATACATACGTGGAAAACAAGTTGGTGTTGTCTTGAGGTTATAAATAACCTGTGACCTAGAAATTTCACTCCTAGGTATATACCCTAGATAAACTATTGAATTTTTGCACCTAAAGAAATGTACAAACATGATCATAGCAGTAATTGCTTTTAATAGCAAATTCTGGAAACATCCCAAATGTCCATCAATAGTAGAATTGATGTAAAAAGGATATAGAAAAGTAATACAGTGGAATAGCATACAGCTGTCAGGATAAAGGAATCTCCAATTAAACATATCAACTAAGATACATTTCCAAGATAAGATGTTCAAAGGAAAAAAGTTGTCCAGACAATACACACCATTCTACCCCATTTTTATAAATTCTCAAAACATGCAATACTAAACGTGAATTATTTAGGGGAGCATTCATATGAAGCAACACATTTTTAGGAGGCTACAGGTAACAAATATAAAATTCAGTATAAGGGTTACCTCTGGAAACAGGAAGGGGAGGGTACTATATTGGGAAGAAATACACAGGGGTCCAGCAGTACAGGTAGTCTTCTTTTTGTTTGTTTTCTGTTTTTTCCCCCAGCCTTCTTTTTCTATAGCCATGGTATGCTTTGTATTCTTCGTACTTTCCATATATTTACAGTACTTTTTGTGTGTGCATGAAATAGTCCTTAACAATATTTTTAGACAATCTCTGAGTAGAAGATAGGGTAGGTTGGCGTGAGGAACTATCGCTTTTAATTAGAAGCGATTACGCACTGCTTTAAAAAGCACACACGTTTCACATAAGCAAACAAAAGCTTTCAGAATTTGCCTCCAAAAAACGTGTGTGTGGACAGAGAGGGAGGGGTGTTAATCTGTATTTGCGCATTTGTATTTGCTCCCATTTGTGAATAAATATTTTTTTAATGCATGTATACATCCTACAGTATGGAAAGAAAATTTCTGGGAAGATTTACAAAAAGCTACAGCAGTTGGGAGTAGACTCACTTCTCGTTTTATTTTATAATTTATCGTATTTTTCATTTAATTTTTCTTTCTATACTATTTTATTGCATATTTTAATTTTATTATCATATGCAGCTTTACTTTTCTAATTAAATTATATTTTGACTGACGGCGGGAGGTGGGAGAACGGCGGAATCCTGCAGACCTCTGCATTCCGCCCTCTGGCCCCGCTCAGGTCCACCGTCCTGGGCGCGCCAGGTCCACCTCCAGCGTCCCACCTGGGCCTGGCCACCTGGTGGGGTTGGAGGCGGGGAGGGGCGGGGCGGAAGCGGAGCTGACCCCGCCCCGCCGTGCACCGGCCGGTTGCCCAGGCAGCCGGGCCTTGCATGGCCTGCGCTCACAATCAGCCCAGTCTCTGCAGCTCCCACCCCGCCCCCTGTGCTCACCTGCCCGCGCGCTCGCCCTCCGTGGACCCAGGGCCCACGGACACACACACCCTTCCCTGCTGCCTCGCGCGCCGCCTGGCCTGCTCTGCCCAAACGGACACCATTCACGCCTGGGCGCCCCGGCCGGGCCTGGGAGCCCAAGGTCGCGGCTGGGGCCAGCGCCAAGAGGCAGAGGATGAGAGCCAGTGCCGCCCCGGGCATCCCCGGAGACCCGGGAGCATCGGTGCTGGGAGATCCGCTGCTCCTGATCGCCCAGACTGCTAAGAGGTAAGTGCCATTGGCACCTTGGTCCTTGCACCTGGCCCTTCCCTTGACATTACATCTCTATCCACTCCTCTCCTCTCCAGACTTTTCTGAGACTTAAAACTGAAAAGCACAATAGAGAACCCCCAAAATGTAAACCATCGCTTATGAGGGAGCTGAAACCCACAGAAGGTAGATTTATTCATAGCGAGGATGTTTCGAGGGACTTGGCTAGATACTTCACGGGGATGAGCTCGTTTCTTCTTCGCACAAGCCCATGAAGTGGGTACTGTTTTATCCCCATTTCACAGATGAAGAAACTGAGGTACAAACTAGGTAGGTGACCTGTCCATATTTACCCAACTAGTATGTATAAATAATGATGCTGGGAAGGAAGGATTACAACGAATTTCCCCATCTCAGATCTACACTCTTTCCCCTGTGCCAAGCTTGGCTTCCTGCTTCCTCTTTCTAGTGAACCTCCCTGGTCTCACAGACTCCTCTGAGAATTTGATGAACTCTATGAGTCTCTCCCCACAGAGCAAAATTGCACATGGACATGCACACACGTACCCACAGATTTTCATATATTAATAATTTCAGAGGATGCAGACCCCGAGCCTGGACCTCAAGTCAAAACATTCTGTTCTATTCCGCTACCTTTGAGATTGTCACTGTAAGACGGCTGGCTCGGCTGGTTGGGCCCAAGGTGGCCCAGGGCTGTGCTGAGGAAAAATACAGGTGTGTGTATATGCAGCGACCCTCTTGAGGATCCTATGTGCTATGCAATTTGCAAGAAACCCAGGCCTAGAGGGCAGAGGACGTCTGTGATTTCCTCCAGTGGAGTGAGCTCTTGGTCAGTCTTTGCATTTTGTTGTAAAGGGCCGTGAAGAGGCGCCATTGTCTACCCAGCATCTCAGGCCTTTAGTGGGAGGGATGTAGTCCGTAGTAAACAGTCCCACAGACTGCTGAATTCATCACTGTAGCTTGATAGGACAACGCCACATGCTGCTAACTCTTTTGTTAGAGATGGATACTATCAGAGACAACTTTGATGTCTCTGATTAGGAAGTCCCTGTTTACACAAATGAGGTGGTACCAATTCAGTACAATCAATAAGCTATTTGGGAGCATCTTACCCTATTCCCTATGTGATGTACATGTGTATGCAGTATGATGACCCTGCACCTAACCAGAACATGGTTGATAATACTAAAACCAGCCATAAATAGCAGCTAAAATAAATGTCACCAAGCCAAGCAGCAAAGGCCAAGTGGATGAACCGGAGGCAGCCTCACAGCTTTACCAGGAGCCTATTCAAACACATGATTCTAACAAGCTGAGTTTCCTGGTTTCCTAGTCCACTACACATTATAAACAGATTAGAAGGGAAGAGAGGGGCTGTGCAAACAGGACATTGAAGCCATCAGCCTATATCATGGGCCTATATGATCCCAGTAGCAAAGGTGGGAGCACAAAGAAAAACTAGGCAGACAAAAGAACAAGACAACAGCATGCATTTGACATTGGTGGACTCTCTCCTTTTTGACTTCTCCTAGTCTCAATCTGCCTTGCAACCACCGAAAAACTCTTAACTTCCCATAGACCAGGCTTAGATCCCTCTCTTTACATCATGAATTATGGTCCCTATTGTCTGGTGGATTCTAATTCAGGTTGCCCTAAGATTAACTGTCTACACCAGCTGTCCAATCTGGACCCCATCCTGAGTGCCCCATCTCAGATACAGGTATATATAGTTGCTTAAGCCAGAAACCTGGGAGTTTTGGGTTTCTTTCTTTTTTTATTCTTTCTCTCAATTCTGTTAACTTTCAGTCATCATCTTTTGAGTAAACATTTATTGAATGCCTTGTATGTCAGGACTTAGGTGACAGAGAAATAATGGTAATCATAAAGCTTCTGTTCCACGAAGGCTATATTCTAGTGAGGGAGACACACAATGCACAAATTTAGTATATCTCTGTCTCTCTATTTATCTGTATAAAATGTTTTCAGGTAATAAGTGCTTTAGAGAAAATAAAACAAGAGGAAGAAGTAACATGGTGGCTGCGATTTGGAAAATGCTGACCCATGGAAATTCTGGGGGAAGAGCACTCCAGGCAGAAGGAACAAGAAGTGCAAATCCCCAGAGGCAGCATGAGCTTTTGTTAATAAACAGAAAGAAGGCCAGTGTGGCTGGAGATGACTAAATCTGGGGACATTGGGGTGAAGTGAGGTCAGAAGGATAGGGAAAAAGTCCTTAAGAGAAGGTAGTGAGCAGTTTGGGCTTATTCTAATTACAATGGCTAGATAACCTGGGGAGAACTTTCTGGTATGAAAGAAATGTCCTATATTTTGATAGAGGTTTGGATTGCATAGGTGTGTACATTTGTCAAAACTCATGGAAGGGTACAGTTAATAATTATACATTTATTATGTATTCAAAAGACCAAAACTAACAAAAGAACTTAAACGAATGTTGAACTCAAGTTAAGGGTATGCATGTTGGAATGTGTCTGCAATTTACTTTGAAATGGACCAACAAATAGGATGGATTAATAGACAGCTAGAGGGATGGATAGATATGTGATAAAGTAAGGAAAACATTATAATGGTAGGACCTCATTGCTGGATATATGGCCGTTCAACATGCACTTTATGTTTCAAAACATTTATACTAAAATACTGAGGAGCCAGGCATGCATTTAGTCCCAGCCACTTGTGGGGCTGAGATGGGAGGATCTCTTGAGTCC